CTTACCTATGCATTGCGGTTCATGAGACCATTTCCCACGTTCACAGGTACTGGTTGCCCACCAACCCTCCACTACAGGTTTATATCCGTTATCACAGGAATAAGTGATAATGGCTTTGTTAGAGTAAGTCTCTTGTTCGGGGATAAAATAACCACGAAGCCTGGGAGCGTCACAGCGCTGTGCTGAAATACAATGAAAACAAACAAACAAACCCCATAAAAACGCACATTAGATATATAACCAACAACTTCAAATAAATAAATAAATGTCCTCACCGAGAAGCACTCCAGGAAAAAAAATCAGGACAAATCCAAGAGACCTGAGACACATTTTGCAGGAATTAATTCACAAAGCAGAGCAGAGTAGAACCTTGTTCTTCTGAACCAGTTAATAATTAGTCATCAAAGCCTAAAAGTTGGGAAACAGTAAACATTAGGCTGAGTAATTCTGGCTGTTGTTGAAATCGATTCACAAATAGACACTGCGTGCACATTTTCTAAATGTATAAAGCTTAAATTGGGGTCCTTACAAATGCACACAAAGAACGCAGACACACATTTTGTACACATAGTGAACGTCAAGAAAACACCACTCAGTTGGAACTGCTTGTATTTATTTCTTTCCTCCTGCATTTATCAGATAATGTTTTTGTACAAAAATCTATGAGGTTATTTACAGTCCAGGTTTCAAACTGACTTCCCGGACAGCCGTAATCAGAGTTCAACATTGTGAAACATCAAACAGCAGCCACGTCAACGCACAGACGTTCAGCAAAGACTGAATCCTAAAGCCAGAAACAAAACAAGCAAAAAGGATGTTGACTGTGTTCAGTAATATTGTTATCATGATATTTGTTTTACGGTGAAAGATTCAGTTCTTATTGATCCTTGCATGCTCTTTATATTTTCTTTTGAGGAACATGTGTTGGGTAGATTGAGGTAAAATTAAGTAAAAGGACAGATGTTTAAAAAACAAAAATAGCAATGGTTGAATTACATATGAGTTTTAGTTTCCTACTATTCTCACTCTATTGACAGCTGGCTGAGAGCTGGGAGCTTTCTCTGGATAAATCGGACATCTCAGGGGAATCACAGGACAGCAGTTTATATAAATTGTTAGATCCTGACACATCGCTATGCTGATGAATATAGGCTTTGTTACTGTACAGCGTCTTAAAACCTGTGCATCATTTTAATTAATTACTATTAGTTTGTTCTCAGCGTGCTCTGCAAAGCTGCCGGTGTTTATTAAATTCAGTATTACAAGAATCCAACATTAATCTTACACATGTGAAGTGTGTTTGAGTCTAATTCAGGGATGTCAAACTCATCTTACATTGTGTGGCACTATAGCCCACTGATCTAAAGTGGGCTCGACCAGTGAAACTGTGTGAAACAGTGAAAGTTTAGTTAAAAATCAAAGCACTGAGACGTCGTAAGAAAGAAAAACAAATGACTATTTGAACAGTACAACTAAGTTTTTCCACATAATAAAAAAATGCTGCTGTAATAAATGAAATAAATATTTCAAATATAAATATTGGCTGATTAAATTAGCTCGTTGCCCAGATTGTGCAGTAATTATAAAACAAGAATGTTTCTGTGAATTCAAAGAAATTGTCCCATTTTCCGGGCCCACTAAAAAACAGAAGTTTCTATATACTCAATATTGAAAAGGCATGAATTTTCTAATTTTTCCTTTTTTTAAAATGTATTACTTAATTACTTTGGTGGACTATGAATAGCCACAGATCTTTACCAGCTGCTAATGTCAGCAACCTGCTCTCTTCTGCCGCTTACAGGTCCGCTTACTTAAGATACCTGCAGCATAACCTGGAATAAACTGGAGCTAATGAGCATAGTTTAAGAAGTAGTTTTTATTTAATGAAATAAATACCTCAAGTGGAAATAGAACAACATTTTTTGTTGCTTACATTCATAATGTTATAATCTTTAAATGTTAACTGTCTGTTTTTCTTTTTTTTAATACCTTGAGCTGCAAGAAGATGGGGA